AATTTTACATATTGGAGAATCTCGCAATGATATCACTCCCACCTAAATCGATAATTATCTATACTTTAAATAAGTGACATTCATATTTATTTAATTAATTTTTTCAACAATTTTCACATTAAATTCGAATTTTTTCTTTGCACGATTTTCTTAAATAAGTGACCATAATTAACTTTAATTCTGTATTTTATGGGACTCATAATTTTTTAATCACACATTCAGGGCTTGTTCGGTACGGCTTAAAATTCAATTAAAATTGAAAATATGTCCGTTATTGGGTCCCACCCGTCTAATAAAAGTCAACAATAACGGTTAATTTTTCAATTTTAATCTCTACCGAACACGCCCTTAACTTTTATCAAAATTTATTAAAAAACTAATTTTTAACTACACCAAACAAAAGTTTAAATAAGGGAGCTATCACCTCTTAGCCACATAATCGACTATGAAACTTTTTCATTTTTTTTTTCTTAAGCATAGTAATTGAATCAACTCCATGCTCTCCAACTACCTACTGGAGACATCCAACGAAATCGAAAGTAAGCAAAATTAAACTTTATTATTTACAAATTTAAGGTTAATCTTTATATTCACTTTCATTTAAGGTATTTTACTTTGTCCATATTTGGTGTGGCTTATGATTTTGATTTTTAAAATAATTAATTTTAATTATAAATTTAATGAGACCCACAATTTTTTTTTATCAATTTTTCAACTATTCATTTCATTGAATTTCATTAAAATTTTGATTTTTAACTAGATGGCTTTTTCTTGAAAACAAATAAATTTAAATAAAATGAAACACCATTAACTAAAAAGGAAAAAGAAAAAAGAAATGAGTTTTACTATGTGTATAGACCTCGTGGCCCCCCTATCATGAAGGGTGTCAAGCAAAACTCGAAAGAAATGATTTTTTTTTGTTTGTATAGAAAATTTACATATACTCATGTGGGAGGTGGGCCTCATGTGCATTAAATATGGGAAGAGTTCACAAATCAGGTATTAATTTTGACAATTGTAAAAATCAGGTGTTAAGTTTCAAATTTGCAAAAATCAGGTATTTATTAATTAATTAATATTAATTAATTAAAAATTAATTTTTGGTCACAGTTTTTTTGCAGGTCACAGATTTTTTTAATAGTCATGTATAAAAAATTTTCTAGGTCAAAATTAATTCGTTGGTCACAGATCAAAATTTATAGGCCACACAGTCACAAATTTCCAAATTAGTTGGTCACAAATTTTTCACAGTCACACATTATATAATTTTTAGATCACAGATAACAAAATGATTGGTCACAGACTATAAAATTTTAAGGCCACATATTATATTTTTAGTCACAGAAAACCAAAATCACCATATCCTCCACCTGCACCACCGTCGACTACTACCACCATTGCTAACCCACCACACACCACATGAAGTAAATACAACCGCCATCCTACCTAGATTCATCGCACCACCATCACCACACAACCTCACCAACACCACCCAAATCACCACTGCCAACAACCACCACCTATGTTTTGAAGAAAAATCCAGCATAATCATTAATTTCAGTAGGAACATATGCATCTCGAGGAGGAAGATGAGCAAATTCAATTTCAGAAGTTGAGGTGTTAATTGATGCAATTAGTTGCTTACCCATAGCCTTACCATTGCTAATTGAATTCTTGTTGGCTGAATTGAACAATTGGAGCAAGATTGAAGCATNGAATTGAACAATTGGAGCAAGATTGAAGCATCAAAATGGTGAAAACCGAAGCTGTCGGACAGGCTCTTCTCTGCAGCCACAAATTGGGTCAAATTCAGGCTGTTGGGAGTTAAATTGAGGTTGACCCATACTTGGACAAGGTGCGTCTTGGGGAGGGGAAGAGGACCCAGTTGGTCCGCCACCGTGGGTCGTCCGGACGATGCTAGAAATTGCATTTTTCGAACCTGTTGGTTTCTTGTTCGCGATTGCAGATATTGCTGTGGTTAATTCCGTTTTGTGTGATGCTTTTTGGGATGAATTGTGAACATGGGGAGGGTCGTCTGGCTTTGGGGAGTTGGCTGGTGGTGGCCAGCCACGGTAGGCAGAGAGAGACAAGGGAGAGAGAGAAAGGAGGGAAAAAGGGAGGAGGATGAAATGAAATTAGAGTTTGGGTGGTATAATTTTTAATTTCTTGAATTTTGATTAAAAAATCTTTACACCTGATTTTTGCACTTTGAAGTTTAAAGATCTGATCTATGTTATGTTCCCATTAAATATTGTCAAAAAAAGGCTCCATTTATTTGTGTGTATTTTGTAGGCTATCTGTATGTTATTATTATTTTTCTCTGTCCGCAGCATTCCTCTGAAAGAAATAGGAGTAGCATCGTGATGTGTAGAAACTGAGGATACCACTGCATCGCCCATCTTTTCAATTTATGGTCAGAAACATTATTTGTTGCAGGGTTTGTGCTTTTGGATCACAATCAATATTTTCTTTGATCTGTACAAATAATTCACCCAATTTTATTTCTTGTATTAATACATCGTACGTACAAGTCGGCCTCTATTTGTAATTCATGACTTCTCCAATGCTTCACGTGTAAAATCTAAAACTATGTGAAACAAAGAAATAAATGGGCAGTTAAGGCTTGGCTTGCTAGTACAGTCTTAAGGATTAAAGCGTTGAATTAGTAGAGCTTTTTAGAACACTGATCATGATCATTTTAAATAAAATGTTCCGCGTGTCAGGCTTTGATGAAGGAAATAAATCGTGTGAATCATGTCACGGACGTATTGAAGAAAAATATTTAAACAGGGTTAAATGCGAGAACAATACATGAACTTTATTTCATGTACTAAAATCATACATGAACTTAACTTTGTATCATTTATATATGAACTTACAATTTTTTTTCACGTTCATGCATGAATTAACTTTCGTCGATCAAAACTAAAATAATAATCCATATGACAAATAGAATGACACTTGACAAGTGCAAATGGAACATGAATTTTACTCCCTGATTCAAACTATACATGAACTTAACCTTGTATCATAATCATACATGAACTCACAAATTTGTATCTTATTTATACATGAATCAACTTCCATATGTTTAATGCATTTGTTTCTGACAATATCTATTATTTATTTAAATTACTTTTCTATTGAAGTATGTATATTAAAAGTGTCTATGTCCAAAGTTGATTGGACCTGAGCATAACACTTACCGCAAATACAGTGCCTATGAAAATGGTATGTTGGACACTTGACATTACCAAACCCATCATTCAAATTGCATTTTAGGAGATTTAATTTTAAAATAACATAATACACTTCTAAGATATTAGGGAACATTTTCTTCCATTCTCAAGTTACAAACATGAAGATTAGTAAGTGGTGTTCAAAGTGAATTTCTCGTTCAATTGAAGCATTTGGAAGGTAAATGTTTTAGTTTTTGAATATAATTGTTTGAAGTTTATTGAGCATTTTAAAGTTAATTCCATAAATAACATAGTAAGAATAAATGAAAAAATAATGCTACTTATTTTCTTGAACGATCGAATATATTTAACATTACAAAACATTGAATAAAATCTACAATAATCGTGCACATGTTAATGACAAAATGCATAATTTGTTCGCTTGGAGAAGGCTCGATTTTGATCAATTTCTTCAACTCTTTTATTGTTCCCCCTCTGATGCTTATAATTTGGGAATAATTTAAACTTTTAGATTAAATGTTATAATAAAAAAAAGTTCTTTTGAATTGCGAAGTCATTGTATTTTTAAAATATACCCGTATAAAGTATAACATATGATTTCGACATCTAATAAAATTGAGTATTTTTTATCTATTATTATGATATGGATAATTATATTTACACCACGAATTTTGTTGAGCAACGAAAAACACGAAGTTTGAAAAGGAGTTTTTAAATGTTTGTAATATTTTAATACTTATTAATTCATTTATAAGTGTAATGGTTAAGGAATAAGTTTTACATAAAATATAAAAACAAAAATTAGTATATAAAGTTTGGATGATTCTTCGTTAACCTTTTAAGATTGAATTTTAAATTTTAAAAGTTATGATCCCAGTAAATTCAACAGAATAATTTAATTGGACTAAAATTCGAATGAGCACACAAATTTCAAAATTGATGCTCATACGAGTCCCCGTATAACGAGGTTTATTGACAGGTAAATCAGACATCGAATCAGGGGCGGACCGAGACCATTTTACTTGTGGGGTCAAAAATGAGAATTCAAAAATGTTAATAAAAAAAAAAAAAAA